TTTTATTTTTATTTTTTTTTTAATTTCTTTAAATGTTTTATTCATTTCTAGGAGAGAGAGAGAGAGAGAGAGAGAGACAGCGTGAGCAGGGGAGGGTCAGAGAGAGAGGGAGTCACAGACTCTGAAACAGGCTCCAGGCTCCAAGCTGGCAGTCAGCACAGAGCCCAACGCGGGGCTCGAACCCACGAACCGCGAGATCATGACCCAAGCGAAAGTCGGACGCTTAACCGACTAAGCCACCCAGACGCCCCCCTTGTGTCCTTTTTAGTGTTTCCTCCTGCAAACTGAAGCAAATCTTAAAAATCTGGTGGGGCACCTAGCTGGCTCAGTTGCTGGAGCATGAGACTTTTGATCTTGGGGTCATGAGTTTGAGCCTCATGTTGGGTGTGGCACCTACTTAAAAAATAAATAAAATATTTAAGAAATAAAGTTAAATGCAGATATTTATCCCTTTTTACATGGAAGGAGACCCTTGGTAGTGACACTCGGGGGAGGCATCTTGCTTTCCGTCTACACGCTGGAGGCCATCCCATATCAGTACATATTCTCCTTGCTCTTTTCTTTTTTAAACTTTCTTTAATATTTATTCTTGAGAGAGACAGAGCGCAAGTGGGGGAGGGCAGAGAGAGAGACACACACACAGAATCTGAAGCAGGCTCCAGGCTCTGAGCTGTCAGCACAGAGCCTGATGCGGGGCTCAAACTCACAAACCATGAGATCATGACCTGAGCCAAAGTCAGACGCTTAAGCAACTGAGCCAACCAGGCGCCCCTATTCTCCTTACTCTTTTTGACAATTGCCTCATGTCCCGATATATGGGCAGACCATCAATGCCTTCTGGAGTCTCCGGTTTCTTCTCACTTCAGTTGTGAGTAATCTTCTGCTTCTTCAAACAAGGCTGCAACACATAATCTTGTATTTAACTCATTTTACATGGCAGCAAGTATATCTGCAGGAAAATTTTCCAGCATCCAGATGACGGGGCCGAAGAGTATAAGGTCCTTCCAAATGCCCTCTGTAGGCTTGTGACATGTGTCCCTGCACCAGCAAGCAGTAAATGGAAGTGCCCGTTCCCCCATAGTTTCCCGCCTCTTCAACAGGAGAAACCAGCGCTCAGACCTTGACCGCGTCCTTCTGTAGTGGGTATAGCTGCTCCTTCTGCTGCCTCTTGATCTTCGGGTGTGATGTCACATGTCTTCTGGGGCCCCGGATCCAGGGACTTGTACTTCTTACCCTTGTAGAATTTCCTGAGGTGCCCTTTCTGAGTCTGGTTGGTGATGGTGAGAATATGGGCAATTGATTTGCCAACAACTCAGATCTCAGGAAGTTTGGAAGCCATGACACCTGTCACTTTGCAGATGTGCAGCTGGGATGGCTCCACCTTCAGGTCTTTCAGCTGTTTAAGCAGCTCCTCCTCCTCCTCGCCTGGAAGGTCTCGAGCCTTAATCTTGGTCATGTCTGCACAATGTGCTGTCACCACTAAGGGAAAGTGCCATCCTCCTGAGTTTTGTTTTAATGTTTTTTTAGTTCTCTCAAATAACAATAATAATATGATGATGATTTTTTAAGAGCCAACACTGTCAACATTGTTGACATGAGTGGGTTCTCATGGGTGTCAGTTGTCTGGTAAGCCCTATAATGCCATCATTTCTCAAAGTACGGTGAGGTGGGTACTATTATCATTCCCATTTTATGAAGGAAGAAACTGAGGCAGAGACATTTACTGACTTGCGTATGGTCACATGACTAGTAATCAAGGAACAGGAACGGAAATCCAGTTCTGTCTGAGCTCTGGGAAGCCACCCTCTTATACAGCTTCTCTTCCTGAAGGAGAAGCCAGTACAAGGGATTGCAGCTTAAGAGCAGGGGTGAAAAAGTCACAGAGGAATCTTGGAGGGGGACTTCAGGCATCCCCACTCAGAAGCCAGGTGGCTTAGGACAGGTGACACCACTCTCTGAGTATCACTTTCTTCAATTTTAAATTGGGGCAGAGGGTCATTATGATGCAATACACGGCCCAGCACACTTGAAGTGCTCAAATACACACAGGAATATACATGTAATAAACATTATGAAGTGTCCACTCTGAGTCAGACTCTGTTTTCACTGCTGGCAACACAACAGTCAACTAGGAGACAAAAATCCATGCCCCGATATGCAAACAAGAAAAATAAGTAAAACATATCTCAGGTGGTGATAAGTGCTAGGAAATAAAGAGAGCAGAGGAGGAAAGAATTGGGAGGTGACTATTTTATGTCATCTCTGCACCCAATGTGGGGCTCAAACTCAAGACCCCAAGATCAAAAGTCATATGTTCTACTGACTTAACCAGCCAAGAACTCCAGGGAGCCTGGTCAGGACCAGAATCACTGAGAAGGCGAGATGTGAGTTAAGGCCTGAAGGAGAGGAGGAAAGAGTCTTGATAAGATCATAAGGGGCGCCTGCTGGCTCAGTTGGTGGAGAGTGTGACTCTTGATCTAGGGGTTGTGAGTTCAAGTCCCACATTGGGTGTAGAAATTACTTAAAATCTTAAAAAAGAAAGAAAGAGAGAGAGGGAGAGAAAGGAAAGAAAGAAAGAGAAAGGAAGGAAGGAAGGAAGGAAGGAAGGAAGGAAGGAAGGAAGGAAGGAAGGAAGGAAGGAAGGAAGAAAAGGAGGAAAAGAAAAAGTCTCAGCGTTTCAGTCAGTGGCAACAGTGAGAGCAAGGCCCTGAAGTGGGACTGTGCCTGGACTGTTTGTGGTGCAGAGGGGAGGTCAGTGTGGCTGGAAGGAGTGAGGGTGGCTGGAGGCATATGAAGGTGAGATCACAGCTCAAGATTCTGCAAGGCCTCTGGTTTGCAGTAAGCTTTCCTCTGAGGTAGATGGGAGGGTGGGGCTTTTGTAGCGGAGAGTGGAGTGAAGCAAGCTCTTTCTATTACCAAGAGGTAAGCTGGGGTGCGGAGGTGGGGCTCTGCTTAAATTTATTTACATCTGCTTAAGGGGTTTTCGCCCTGCTCAGCAAGGAAGACTGGGGGGCGCCAGAAGGCCGCCACTATTTTGAGAGGCGCTGGGAGTGCGGCTTCAGGACGCTGGACAGCGCCACGCGCGTTGCCGGGAGACCAGGGACGCTCCGGCGCTCGGGGCGGAGCTTTGGGAAAGCGTCCTTTTCCCAGCCTCCAACTGTGAGCACCGGGCTGGAGACACCTATGGGCCGTAGTCGTGGGCCGAGCCTGCAACAGCGTCCAATTGGAAGTTTGCTGTCCTCCCTCACAAGGGCGTGGTGTCTTGAGACGGGGACTGAGGAGAGGGGCCTGTATAATACTTTGTTCCAAATGGGGCCTATTGAATGGGCATAAAAGGGGCGGGTGGTGTGTGTCTGGCAGACCTAAGGGCGAATAGGAGGCAGTTTGGTAAGGGAGGTGTTCGCAGAGGCCGGACATGGGCCGGCTTCTGAGCCCCCCTACCCAGGTCCAGAGACCAGGCTCGATAGGGTTCTCGATATCTCCTAACCTCCCCTTTCCTGGGATCGCCACGGCTACGCAGGGGAAGCCTCCAAAAGCGGGGGATTAGGTAGTTGCTCTTAAGAAGCTGGTACTGAGGGGCACCCGGGTGGCTCAAGTCAGTTAAGCGCCCTACTCTTGATCTCACCTCAGGTCTGGATCTCAGGCTAGGGGGATCAACCCCCAACTTCGGCTCTGCAAGAGGCATGAAGCCTTCTTTATTTATTTTTTTTTAATTTTTTTTTTAATATTTTATTTATTTCTAGGAGAGAGAGAGACAGCGTGAGCAGGGAAGGGTCAGAGAGAGAGGGAGTCACAGACTGAAACAGGCTCCAGGCTCCGAGCTGGCAGTCAGCACAGAGCCCGACGTGGGGCTCGAACCCACGAACCGTGAGATCATGACCTAAGCGAAAGTCGGATGCTCAACCGACTAAGCCACCCAGGCGCCCCATGAAGACTTCTTTAAAAACAAAAACCCCAAACACTGCTTACTGAGGTCTTGGGACCCTGAAGAGGAGTCATGGGGTTTGGGGGCACAGAGTGGGGGATGCAGAGCCTCTGGAAAGAGGAATGGGGGTTTTGAATACCTCCGTCACTGAAATAGGCTACTTGGAGCCTGGTGTTGGTGGCTGTCTTAGGAGGGCAGAACGCTTTCTCTGGTTTAACCAGCCAGGGATGATGGCTATCATCCTGGGCAGGACATGGGTCCAGGACGTACAACCTCCGAACAACTTTATGGCATCTTAAACTTGTCTGGCTGTCTCCCAACAACAAACCAAGTGCCTGGGGGTAGGGACCCTCGACTTCCTGTGGCCCGAGACAATGCAATGCCCCTCTCTGGGCCGGTCTGCTCCATCTGGGACTTGCAGTCTTTACCCCTTGCCGGTCTGGCGGGGTTTCCTCACCGAGTCCACTCAAACCACCCTGAACCTCAGCCCCGATGTTCCAGAACTCAACCAAGCCTCTTTGCTGGCCACCTGGCCTCCAGGCTCACCTCTCCCACACACCTATTCTTCGCTCAAAAGCCGAAAGGACTGTTCTGAAGCATGACTGAGCCTGGGTTCTTCCCAGCTCCGAATCTTCCCATGCATGGTTCCCCACTGCCCTCAGGATAAAGGTCTGAATTCCACTGCTTGACTGTCATGGCCTCTACAGGTTTGCCCCGCTGACATCCAGCTGCACTTCCCATCTTACAGCCACAATGCTTCACCCACCGGACTTTGGCTCTCTCAAGTCCACCACCCCCACTGCCCAGCTACACTTGCGTGCACACTATTCCTCTGCAGGGCATGAACTGTGCACGCCCGGCCCAACACGCCTGGCTCCCTTTAACTCTCCTGTCTCAAAACACCCGACAGCCCCTGCACCAATGGGGACAGGGCCCTCGTGGTACCCAGAAGCTACAGGAAAGCAGGGCCCAGGTTCATATCCCCAGCGGCCCCTGCTGTATTCTCAGCACCCCGTACCGGACCCAGCCATAAGCAATACCCAATAAATACATGGGCAGTGAATGAAACAATGAACATGTGAAGTTTCTGTTTATTCTGGGATGGGTTAGAAGGAGCATCCAGGCCAAGGCTTGCTGGTGGGTGGCCCAAAATTGTGTCCGGAAGTCTCAGGAGAAGCCTGCAAAGGACACAGTGGCGGGGGGAGGGGGGAGGGGAGGGTCCTCACACCTGGAAAGTGACCGAGTCCTGAAGCTGAGCCCAACCGGACCATGCCATTCCCTAGGAGCGGGACAGGCCATGCTGCCCACACAAGAACGGTCAGCGGTCAGAGGAACAGCACAGGTTTCCCCGCCAGAGGTGGAGGCAGTTGGGTGTTGACTTCCAGGTGAGACTGGACCCCAGTCCAGGGGGACAACCAGGACCCTAGTGATTATGCTCAGTGCAGAAAGGTGGGAATCTGTGCCCCATTCCCTACTGCCTAGAGATTCCCTTTGGTCCTGGGTCTCAACCACCCCCCCCACCTCCCCACGGGACCATCTGAAATTCCCTGCAAAGCTCTGCCCTGTGACATCATCTCGGCCCACCACATACGTCCAGCTGTTCCCTCGGGAGAGGGGTTTCTCCCTTCCTCCCTCCAAAGGCATCCTGAGCCCTCTGGGGTGGTGTCCAGTCCGGGGTCACTGACACTCATGGTCTAGCCACCAAATACCCTATCCTGATCCACTTGCTGACTAAGCACGTGGGCCACTGGCTCTTCCTGCTGATGCTCCTGGTGACCTCCACTGGTGACGGCAAGATGTGGGACACCATCCTCTGGCAGCATGAAGACTGAGGCATCTCTCTGTTGCCTACTGTGTCCCTGGCTGAGGAGGACCAAGAAAACCATCAGTGAGAACCTCCTCCAGGCTGGCTTCCTGGGCCTGGAGGGCAGCAGGCTGGAAAGGACTTGGTCAGCTCTGAATGGGTGACAGACCAGCACCCACGTCTTCTCCATGCTCATGTTGTTAGCCACACCTTACAGAACCCAGCTTCTTGGGGTGGCAGGTCCTGAGGGCTGAGATACCGTTACTGGCCAGCTGTACCACAGTGCCATTAGCACCAACGAAGTCCCCAAGCAGGTGGGATGCCAACGCACATGTGCTCACGAGTTGTCGCTTCAGGACAGGACCCACCTTGCTGACCACGATGATCCTGATTGTGGTCAACAAACTCCCAGGGCTGTGCGAGCAGCACGGGATGAAGCCTTCACCCAATCCTTCAGCAGGCTGAACAGTGTTCTCCCAGGAACATACATCCGACTCTCATGTGCCAATACCTGCAAACGTGAAGGATCTCAGGATGTGCTCTCTCTCGAACACTGGGGACCTGCAATCCAATGACTGGTGTCCTCGTAAGGAGATCTGAGAACACAAGAGGCTCTTCAGGAGGTCACGTGAAGGAGGAAGCAGAGATGGGAGGAATGCGGTCACAAGTCAAGGAATGCCCGAAGTCACCAGAAGCTGGACGAAACAAGGTCCTGCTTCTCAGATACTGCTCTGTTCTCGGCGATGAAAGTCCCTCAGATCGGTAACACTGGTCCTGGATTTGGGAGCGCTCAGGCCAGGCCCAGGGTCTCAGACCAGCATCCCGGGGGTCTGCCATTTTCCACAAGAGGAACTTGGCACCGAGTCACAGCTCCCTGAAGTCTCCACATCAAGGTGGCCTGGGAGTTTTTTCCACTGCCTTCAAGATGCCTGCCCTTGCGAAGGGTCTTCGTTCAGAAACGTCAGTGCGGTGGTGGCCACTGCCTGGGAACCTGATGGCGAGGAGACCTGCGCTGAGACTATGGCCCCACAGTCTGAAGGCATCTGTCAGGGCTGGGGCGGGGCGTTCTTCCCTGTGGGTCCCGCAGCAGTGCAGGCTCCGCCCCCAGCTCGGGCTTCCCATTTCAATACAAGGTCCCAATGATCTCGTTGTCCCAGCCCCTAGAAGAGTCCAGGAGAGATGGGCCATGGACATATCCCAGCCCATTGCAGTCTGGGTTGGGACCCATCCCCCAGGTCTGTCGGTCATCTCCATAGCGCGCACACGCGTGCACCCCTAGGGCACTGCAGGTACCGCGGAGCGCCCCTCAGGTGAGCATCACGCCACCCCGCCCTCTCCCCTCACCGGACTAACTGGTATCCGGGTCCTCCTCTGCTCCGGCAGAAAGCAAAATTCGTCCAACGTTTTTTCTTCTAAGTGCAGGACACCTTTCTTTCCCCTCTCCAAGGCGAATCTTCATCCTTCAAAGGCACACTGCATTTTCTGCCTCTGCTGAGGAGTTCTGAGTGGAGAATGGTTTGCTCTTCTCCGTGAATCAAGCACCGGAGGCCAAGGGCTGCCTGTGGTTCAGAATTCGAACGATGCCTGGTCTGACGGATGGTAGAGAGACGCGGAGAGAAGGGTCCCTGCAGACATGCAGCCCAGGCCTCACCAGAGAGGCTCCTCCCAGACAGAGTTGAGGCCTGGGCAAAGGCAACTGACAGCGCTGGCCCCGCCCACCCCCTGGGGCAGGGCCAGCATGGGGACAGGCTGCTCTCAGGGCACAGGTTCTTCTACCTCCACGTGGCTAACACTTTTAAGCACAGAGTGGTCAGTAGCATCTTTGGCCCTGCCCACTAGGTGACAAATGTCCCCCTCACGATGCAAAACTGCCTGGGACCGAGAAGCGCTGCTCCAGGGAAATCTGTCACAACAGGGCTGGGCAGCCAGAAAGAAGCCGGAGTGAGCACTTGGAGCCTCTGGGCAGGGGCGGCACCGTGAGGCTGCGGCTGCTGGGGACACAAAACCACGCCATCCAGACACAGAAGGTTCCATGGCTGGGTTTCCCAGATCTTGGGGAGCTTCAGCCAGATTCAATCGGCCTTTTGCAAGTTAGGTTACACGTACCAAACCCACACAGGTTCCACTCCACGGTGACGTGAAACTACACCTACGCTACGCCAGAATTCCCGGAGCAGGAGAGCAAGCAAGCTGAGCCGTGTGAGCAGACCCCTCCCACCCGCGTAGGCCACTCTGCAGACGACAGGAGCCCCCGGGGACGCGGACAACACAAGATTCCCTGTCACCGGGCTGCTGGCCCTGGCCGTCCTCGGAGCGAAAGCATCTAGAGGCCTGGAACTGGGCCCTGGGGCGCTGAGGGGCTGCCCTGCCACCCCCACCCCGCATTCCCGTGCTGGGAACAGTGGGGGAACCTGCCCACCACACTGCTGGTGGGTCAGACACCCAGGCCTACGACGGGCAAAGAGTTTTCTTTTTCTTTATTTGTCTACATTCAGCTTAATTCAGATGTACTGCCTGAATGATCCAGACATACAAAAAAACCCCACTCTTTCCCACTGGTTTTTAAAATAAAATCTTCACTTATAAAACTGAAACACTAAAGCATTAAAATACAGAAAGCTCGTTTAACTCACTTCACAAAAGCATTAACAGATAACGTATCCCTTCTGGAGCTATTTGAAGACAAACCGAGTTAACGCTAACACCAATTGTAAATAGACAGAGGGATACTTAACTGCAAGAACCCAAAAAACTCTACTCAGACAAAGTTGTAATGGCAACTAACAAACCACTGAAGACATAGAAGTCCCAAACACGGCTAAATAAGGGTCACAGGGCGGGTCCCGGGAGTGACCCGCCGCACCGCACAACACAGCAACGAGGACAGGCTGGGGCGGAGGGGGCCCGGAGGGGCCGGCGGACGTGTTAACTGTGATGCATAAAACTGAATCTTACGACGCGGGGGGAAGTGCAGAAGGTACAAATCTTCACCCCCCGGGGGGCTTTATCTATACTGGTAGTTCATGCTGTGGTCTGCGTTTCTGCCGTAGCCGCCCTGTGAGGACTGGTAGGAGCTGGGAGGGCCGCTGTAATTCTGGCCGGAGCCGGGGGAGTTGTAGTTGGACTGTGACGAGTAGCCTCCTGGGGAAGAGAGGGGTGGGTTAGAGCCGAGGGGCGCGGGGCCCGCCCCGCAGTCAAGAGCTCAGGACCTGGGCCAACAAACAGCCGAGCCGTGTGCGCCCACGTGATGTCTTGAGGTGAGGTCACAGCGGGGGGGTTGGGGGCAGCAGCACAGGCACCGCCTTCCCCCGCACAGTCGGGTCTGGTCATCACCAACACCCTGCGGCATGGAAGCACGGGACCCCAGTGTGACGGGTGCGGGTGGGGCCGGGGCGGATGGCGGCAGTGGGTGCTGCATCGGGGGGCTGCCCGAGCACAAGGCCGAGCCTAGAGCCCCCAGTAGCAGGCCCCCCGCCACGCTGTTGGGGCCTCCGCGCCGTCAGCTTTCTCTACACAGGTGCAAACGTTTTAGGAGTAGGGCAGCATCTGGACGTCTGCTACTGAAACGCCGAGAAGCTGGAGGCGAGCCTGCAGCCACGGGCCCACGTCCCGGTCTCCTTGTCCCTGTCCCCACCCCACGTGGAAGCTACATGGCACATGCTGCAGCAGCCCTGCCTGCGATGCCCACCTGCCCACGCCGGGCGACGCCCCTCACCACCGGAACCCCCGGGGCCGTGCTGTGCCACCTGCCGATCCAGGCCCACCTTGTTTGCCTTGGTATGAGGAGCCGCCCCCAGAGCCTCCGCCGTAGCCCCCATGTGACCCTGGGTTGTAGGACGAGCCGCCTGAGCCATAGCTGTTCCCGCCGCTCCGGCCTCCACTCCCACTGTAGTCTGGGGGAGAGAAGACAGTGCGGTTAGAGGGCCTTGGCCAACACGCAGCCGGGGCGGGCCCCAGGCTGAGACCATGGACCTGGGAAGATCCCCCCTTGTCCTCACTGCTTCGGGCCGGCACACATCGGTTCAACTGAGAAGTGCTCTGGGCTGGCTGGACCCCGCAAGGTCCCTGTGCCCTGGGGCAGCCCGGTCACCAAGTTCTAAGGCCTTGTCCCACAAGGTCTGCACACCCCCTCCTCCAACCCAAGCTTCCTGCCGCTTGGGAGGCACGTATCAGCTTCTCCTCCTACCCAGCTGTCACCAGGCACCCAGTGTCCCCACCCCGGGGGGGTGCCTGGGGCTGGGTTGGTTAAGCATCCCACTCTTGATTTCAGCTCAGGTCAGGACCTCACGGTTCATGAGATCAAGCCTCATGTGGGGCTCAGTGCTGACAGCGCAGAGCCTATTTGGGACTCTCTCTCTGCCCCTCCCCCACTTGTGCGCACGCTCTTTCACTCTTTCTCTAAGCAAACATTTAAAATCCCTGGCCACCTTGGTGACCACCATCCCTTCCCAGAAAACAAATGCACACCTACGCTTCCCTACTCATGAGCCTGCTGGGTTCATGCCAAGACGGAGGGGGAGGCGGAGGGGAGAAGTAGGGGCCTGATGCAACACTGTCTCCAGAGCCCTGCAGGTCACCTCTCTGGGCAGCTGGCCCAGACTCAGACTCCACCCCTGTGCCCCAGCCTCAACCCGCAGGCCTCCTTGCTATAGGGGCCTCCGCTAGACCTGCCTTCAGAGAGGGCGACGGGAAGAGAAGGGAAAGGCACAGAGCTGGGCCAGGGACCCCTGCCTTCAGGGTTTTCCTAGAGCCCACCCGACAGCCAGCACCACCCGGCTTCCTTCCAGTCCCCTGGCAAGAGGTCAGGGCAAAGCCGAGCTTCCGCCACTCCACGGGACGCGCCGCTGGCCTGGACCCCGGCCAGACCCCGGGGGCCCTGGAAGCCAACTCACTGAATTTGCTCTCGTAGCTGTAGTCTGAGCCGCCCCCGCCCCCGGGGGAGCTGTAGGAGTTTGAGTAGGAGGAGTAGTTGCCTTGTCCGTGATTATAGCCCTTCTGCTTGCCCTGTGGGGGGCCGTAGTTGCTGTACTGGCCCTGGCTGTAGGACTGCTGCTGGCCCTGGTGGGACTGGTAGCCCGAGCCATAGGAGGGCTTCTGCTGGCCCCCATGGGGCTGCTTCTTCCCGGCGTGTTTCGGGGGCACTGGTGAGTTGTAGTTGTCGCCTTGGTAGTAGGAGCCGTAGCCGGAGGAGCCACCACCGCCCCCGCCGCCGCCACCACCAGCATTCCCAGAATGCCCTCCGTTGCTGTAGAACTGACCTAAACAGGAAGGCAGCGGGTCAGGCACAGGATGGGGGAGATGGGGGAGGGGAAAGACAGGGAAGGTCGTGGCTGTGGGTCCTGAAGGCTGACCCGCAGGCCCACTGCCCAGGCCAGGGAAGAGCGGTGGAGGCGAGAGGGCGAGGAGCAGGGGCTCCGATCCTTCAAGCAGCCTGGCGTGGACTGGTCCAGCCTTCAGCTCCACTCACCCGTCAGCTGATGACAACAATGGATCTTTGCCAAGCAGCGGCAGGACAGCACGCCAACAGCAGCTTTTGCAGCGGATGTCAACATTACAATGAGATGAGCTCCGAGCGAGATGACATTCACGACTAGCTGTTACCCAGATGTCCCCGACGGTGACAGGGAAAGCAAAGCCCCAGAGCAGCAGCCGGCCACCCCCACCTCCCCCACTGCTGTGCTGGGAAGAGGCTCTGCAGTCACAGGCCTGGGTGACCCCAAGACACTTAATGAGGCCCCTGAACCCGGTTTCATTCTTGGAAGAACTAGTCCCACATGGTTCTTGGAAGAGCAAGAGGAGACTTAGCCAAACGACCCGGGACATCTCCCTAGGGTGACTCGTGCCAACGCAGGACTCGAGGAGTGAGGAGTGATTCTCGTGGGGAAAGGAGACTGGCTAAAGAGTCGGGATCACAACATGCGGGCTGGGCCTCGAGCTACAGCCTTGGACGGCCTCCCCAGAGGGCCCCTCCTTGTTCCCAGCACAGCTGCCGGGGGCAGGCCGACCGAGCAGGATTGACAAGCGTGCAGGGAGGCCGCCACATTCTCAGACCCGGAGGCTGAGAATGTCACAGTAAGACCCTCCTTTGGTCACCAGGTGTAGATCCCAAGAGTCAGGTATGTCCACACCCTGCCCCCCATCAGACACGCCGGTGGGCTGATGGGGGATGGTCGGCTAAGGCCAGGTGGGAGGAAGGGGAGGCCGGGGCGTGTGGGTGGCTCTTGGCCCCAGCAGGGCAGTCCCCAGTGCTCACGTGGGGGCAGCGGAGCTCCTGGCTCCCAGGGCAGGGGCCTTTGCTGGTCGGTGCTCCCCCGCCCCCCACCGTGCCCAAGGTGGGAGGGAGGGGGAGGGAAGCTCCCACACCACCCATCCTTCTCTCCCATGCTTAGCATCAAGGGTGGCCCCCTCTTTTGGGTAGAGTTTTAATTTGGGAGTCATCACGTGCCTTCCACCCGTTGGAGATGTGCCCCCCACACCGCCATGTCTTGAATTGTTTGAACAAGAATTTAGGTAAAACTGATCGCTGGCATCAGTTTATTGTCTTCAGGCGGCCTCCTCCACCCCTCCACCCCGCCCCCCATCACAAAGCCAAAACACCAAGAAGGACATCATGGCCCACAATGCGAGAGAGCAAACATGCGGAGGCCTGGCCAGGAGGCCCTCTTCAGACCCCCTCTCAGAACCCCGCCACCTCGGCTGCCCCCCAGCCTAAACTGAGCACCTCCTCGTCCCTCCTCAAGCATAAGAATGAATGAAGACGCCAAGTACTGAGGACTTGTTACTTTAACATGTATTGATTAAAAAAAAAATAAAGGGTGGGGGAGTTTTCAACGTCATTTCAGGATAACTATTTCCTGGTATAAAAAGACATTATTCTCAAACAATAACTTTCTAAAAAAAAAAAAATACATCATGCAAAATTTTAAAAAGTTTCACTGAATGTTTCAAACCTCTGGGAACAAATTATAGTAACCATTTTGACCAGTTTTTGCTGAAGAAACGCAAAATCTTGCAAGTCAACTCAAAGGCAGGCTTCCTGCAAAGGCCTGCTGACCAGAGCCCAAGCAGCCTGTCCCAAGATGGGCTGCCCCGGGGAAACGGGGATTGCAGTGAACCCTCCTGCCTCTGTGCGCCTCTGCACACACGGAGAAGCCAGAAACTCCAGCCTGCACCCTAAGGTGAGAGGGCAGAAGATTCCAGACCTTCTGGAACCCGTCGTGGCTGCACACCCAGCAGCACGGGCCCCGCCGAGGCCAACTCTTCCCTGGAGAACTGGGCTACGTATTAAGTCTTTCTGCTCAATTATTTTTAAAGCCCCGTCAAAATAAAACAAAAAAACAAACTCTAGAATCCCATGCATTTGCAGCTGCGGTTACGACTTGCAAAATTCCACGTTCTCTCTGCCTTACTTAGAGCCTGTCTGTTCCCTGCACTAATAACGGAAGCACAGTTTGGATACCTTTGAGAGTTCACCTCTAACTAATCCAGCCACAAAATCCCACGTTCCCAAACAAGAACCCACCAGAGCATTTACAAAAGGCGGGAGAGGTTAACTTAGCACAATGTACAATTCTCAATGTTCCCCACGTTTTACAAGCTTATTTAAAAAAAGAAAAAGAAAAAAAAAGAAAAAGCCAGTTGCTCTGGATTCAGATGTGATAAAATCGTTTTCATTACTGTCAAAGGCATCAACCAGATTTGGGAATTTGTTAAAAGGTTAAAAATTCATACAAAACCTGCTGTAAATTAAGACAAAGGTAGATTAAAATGCGTTATCTGTCTCTTAAATAAAGTAATGCTTTCCATAAAAAGCAAAGGTGGGCTTTTGCCTTGACGCTGACCAACGCTGGCTCTAGAATTCTGTGCAATTCTGCACAAAAATGCATTCTCTGAAAATTGTTTTCCACTTATTGTGAACTTCAATATGACCAAGTTCAAAGGCAAATCACGATAAAAACTGCCATTGTCTTAAATTCTGCAGGCTAGAGTTTCAGACAAGCTGCGGTGACAAGCCACGGTTGAGAAACCCAGTGAAGCACAGGGGCACAGCACGGACACTTTGGGTTTTGGAGTTCGAGAAAATTGGAGTAAAAAGTTGATTTTGTGTGCAATACTTTTAGATGCTCTAGGAAGACCCAAAATCATGATAGCCGTAGCAGTCTGTGAAAAAGTCACCTACAAAAGGGGGAGACAGAGCAGAGAAAAAAAATTAGAATTCTTTTGAAAAATGGCACAGAGCGCCACATTTGAAATTCATGTTTTAGATTTCTCTGCTCCTGTAACCCCCCAGTGAAGGCTCCTTCTCAAGACAAGAGCTGTGCACTGTCAGGAAAAGCATCATCACAGGACTGGTGCTTCGCATGGCTTAAAGCAGAGAAATTTAAAATTCTTACTCTTACGGAATTTCAAGTCACACAAATACGTGTGCTAACATTTAAAGAACAAATTACGCTCTCGCAGAATAACAGGGGCTTGAGGACCGTCTGCCCTCAGCACTGAGAAAGGTGCGCGCCACTCCTCAGTCTCTGGGAGGCTGCTGCGGGGCCGCCCTGCTCTAACTCAGCGTGGGGGCTACTCTGTAGCTTCTCCCCGAACCTCAGACCAAGAGAAACACACACTTACTGTAGCCCGCCGTCGCCGAGTTGCCGCCATACCCATAGCTGCCATAGCCCGCGCCTGGAAAGGAACACACAGGGTCACTGGGGCCGGAAGGCGGGGCCACCCTGCCCCTACCTCCCCCCGCCCATCCCCTCCCCGCCCCCACCCCAGGGGACCCACGGGGACCACACAGGATCAGAGTCCTTACTGGCATTCATGTAGCCTCCGTGGTTGGCGCCACCAAATCCTCTCCCTCTCCCTCGCCCTCGGATGTTCCCTCCTCTTCCCCGGCCTCGGAGGTTGGGGGGCGGGGGCACCTCGTTGTGCATGGGGCCTCCCATGCCGAAGCCAGGGTTATGTGGCTGCAGGGGAGAGAATAGAGACCGCGGTCACGTTCACCTCACGCCCCAACCACAGGCGGACTTGTGCCGCGGCCGGCGATGGCGGGGGCATGCGCGGACCTTAGCAGCAAATTTCGGGCCACCTCTCACAGGCACGGGGGCTCTCTTCTTCTTGTTGGCTTCCAGGGCGAGGGGGGTGTCGGGGAACAGCTTCTCCAGTGCAGCAAGAGCGGCGTACGCTTTTGCCACCTTTTTGTTTGAGCCGGCACCCTGAAACTTCTGTCCATCCACCTCGACCTGGGAAGAAGAGCTGTGCGTCAGCGGGGCCCGACGCCTCCCTCTCCCGGGGCCGGGGCCTCTCCCGGGGAGCGGGCCGCTCACCTCCATGACAAAGCGCTTGTCGTGGCTGCCCCCAGTCTCGGAGATGAGTTCGTACTTGAGGCCGCGCCTCTTCTCGTTGAGTTCCATGACAGGGTTCTTGCCATGCTTGGTCAGGATCGGCCCCTGCTGTTTTACGTTCTCAGGGAAAACAGAAAAGAAAACCAAACAACTCAGCTAAGGGCTTTCCGGCACACGTAGGAAGGCAGCTACCCCCAAATCAAGAAAGACACCCTCCACGTCACTCTCCCTGCTGTCTCTCACCACCCTCGCCCTCAGCCTCTGGAAGTCATCTGAGGGCCTCCCAGCAATGGGACTGCCTCCACCTGCACCCGACCTCGGGGGTGTGACCTGACACTGACCGTGGGCCACCCCGCTGCAGCCCCGGGTGCTAGGTCTACATGAGCAGGGCTCTCTGGGTCGTGGCTCAAAGGCTCACGCCCAGCTCCCTGTATGAGCTCCTGGACTGAAAGGAAAGTACTCTTTTGGGGGAAAACGAGAAGAACTGGTAATTATCCTGGCTCAGGGGACACAGAACTGCCTGACACCTTGTCGGGTACCCTGGCGCCCACCACGTGCTCACCTCGGCAGTGGGATCTGTGGGGAAGGTGGCGCTGGGAGTCGAAGCGGCTTCCACCACAGGAGGAGGGGCCACCACGGCCGGCTTTGCTTCCGTCTCCTCAGCCGAGTCCTCCCCCTTGCTGGAGTCTCGGCCTTCCGCGCCGGTGGGCAGGCCCATGTCCTGTAACACCTGCCGGAGGCATGCCCCCGGGGCCCCCAGTGAGGGAGGGCTCAGGACCATGGTCTACCGCCCAGCTCTCTCCCCACCCCCAGGATCCTGAATCAGAAGCGTAGAAGCTGGGTGGCATCCAGCAATCTGGTGGGTGTTTCCTCGCCTAGCCCCTGGCTCCCCGTCCAGCACGAAACCCTGACGGCCAGCTACACCTGGGGACTCTCCGCCTGTCAGCCACAACAACAAAGCTCTTCTTCCGTGTGTGATTCGGCACACATTCAAAACTCGACTCCTCTCAGGGTTTCATGCGCCCTCCCTAAGCCTCACGCTGTCCACCCTGGGGGATTTTGACACCGTCTAACGGCTTTGACGGAGCCCGAGATACAGAAGTGCTTCTGCTGCTCTCAGAACAAGCGACACTGCCCGCCACGTTTACCTTAACGGCCACGTGCAGCTTGGCGGTCTTCTTGGACGGTCCAGAGGCCTCGAACGAGTTGCCATCTACCTCCACAGACATGGTGAAGATGGGGGCGTGGACCGGACCCGTCTGGGAAACCAGCTTATACTGCAGTCCCGGCTTCAGCTGGTTGAGTCTCATGAGAGCATTCATAGCCTGAGGCGGCTCAGCTTTCTCCTCTGGAGAGAGAACACCACACCGTCTGGACTATCAGCCAAAGCTCCAGGGGGAGGAGGCATCGCGGCCGACGACCTCCCCTGCACCCTTGCTCCCAGGTCCACCCACCCTACTTCTTGTTCCAGATCCACATCACAGTTAGTCATTTTAAAAAGGACTTAAACATTTATCACGTCTGAGAAAACTAAGGCCAAGGCAAGCATCTCGTCACTCTGGGATGACCCGTTAACTGAGCCAGATGGAAGATAAACTAAGGGCTAGAAACGAATGCTGGTACCTTTCTTCTGAATCTTCTTCTTCTTTTTGCTGGGAGACTTTTCCTCCCCATCTTCCTCCATCGGCCGTTTCATGGGCGTAATGGCATAGGTGGTGCTGGGGGGGATTTGAACTGAAGGAAGAGACCACGAGAGAAACAGCTGAGAGTCCCTCCTGTGCTATGCTATGAGTCTGAGCCGCCGCCCAGCCTGGGGCCCGGGGCACCAGGGCCTGCTTACCTGTGTAGTCCACTGGGTTTTCATTCTTTGGTTTCTTGGGCATCTTAGAAGGCAGAGGGTCCATACCCAGAACTTTATGGAGCTGGCCAAACGCAGCAAGCCGCAGAGCATGCTGGAGAAGGGGAAGAGGACCTGACTTAGCCGCCCTGTGCTCCTTGCCAAGGTGTGTGCGCTCGCTAATACCTTCTGGAAGGGGTGGGAGCTGAGGGGGTTGCTAACGGGCTCCCCTACAACAGCAAGGGGTCCCCTAACAGCCAGGGGAAGGCCTGACTGCCAGGGCCCAGCCTTGCTGTGGGGGAAGGCCAGCCTGTGACCACCCCCCTCAACAGGAATACAGGGGACCCCAACCTGGGGACTGGTTGCCACACGGAGCCACGTGGTGGGCCTGCAAGGGAAGGACCCTGGAGCAGTCCACACAGCAAATACATCTCCCCGCTGAACTCGGTGTCCAAAAGCAGCACTCGAGCAGGCCGAGGGGACAGGCGACAAGCACGCGTGGCGCCAGGGGAAAGAAGCAGCCCAGATTGGGGCGCCCTGTATCAGGCACGATCCCTTCACCTTTGGTCCCCAACCTGAGCCTACGAGTCCAGTGGCTACCCTGAGAATACCCAGTAACGGAACTGGAAGCCAGTGATTACAGACTGGGTAAGGGCTCACGTTGGCAATGGCGATGACTATACCTGCGCACTCTGTGTGATATCTTCCCGTTGCTGTCTGTCTAGATGCCCAATAGCATCAGTGGCTTCTTTTTCACAAGGGTCATAAATGCCAGAACCATCTGAAGGCAGGAAACAAGGAAGATATGCAGAGGATTATCTTTTAGCATCTCGGAAGAGTTGCGTTGGCTGAGGGAACCAGGTGCGTTACCCCCCACGCCCCATCCACACCCAGCTCTGGAAAACTCGCTGAGCTCGGTGACCCACTCGGCATCCAGCCCGTGAGAAAAATAATCCACGTGTCTCAGAGCAAGGAGCTCGCGTGGGAGTGGGTCACCACTGCCCCGGATCCGCCCTGAGTCACAGCTGCGGAGCCGGCACAGGGCTGGATATGATGGTGCAAGAGGGTAGTCACATGCTTCAGCCCTAGGGGGACATGGGGCTGCTGCTGCCCTAACCCGGTCAGGGGACCCATCAGAAAGTGGCCTCGGGGCCTCAATCCCTGTCCTTTCCCTGCAACTTGCAAAGCACAAGGCCCCAACCTGGCATCACGATGCCCGACGCCAGGCACTCCAGCACTCTCCGCAGGGCCTCGCCGGCACCCATGGGTCTGTTGGCTGTGCCGATGGACTTCTCACAGAGAAGCTCGAGGGGCTGAAAGGCAAGAGAGACAGTTAACTCCACTGTCCAGAAGGTGTTCGGCCGACACCCAGGAGCTGTCACTGTGTGTGTGTTTACAGGGAAGGGGATGTCAGAGCACTCCAAATTCATAAATTCAGGCTAAACCAAAGACAGGGCAACTAGAGCCCGGCTTGGTAACTTTTCCTTAAAGAGACGGCCATTAAATCTTTCAGACCGTAGGAGCCAAGAGGCCAAAATGAGGCCGTTGTGTAGGTACTTATATTTATTATGTAGCCACTTAAAAATATAAAGACCACTCTCAACTATGGGCTGCAGATAAACTGGCAGCTGGCCAGAATTGGCTTATGGGCCCCAAGGTTTGTGGAGCCCTGTCCAAGAGCAGCTACAAAAATGCTTCTTCTTGGAGTAGAGCCTATCACAGAAGTGCTACCTGGCCAGCCCCCTCCCTAGGTCAAGCTCTGTGCCCACCGTGGTGTGGGGCAGGAGGGGGAGGGCAGGTGCTGGGCTAGCTCTCACCCCCACCCAGTATGTGGCACAAAGTAATTAATCAGTGAATGACTAGCACAGGGATGCGTCAGTCACACCCTAAAGGGCCCCTCCAGCCCAGTTACCATAATGTATTCCTGGGTCATGGGATAAAGTCTCTGTACACACGACCCCCCCCCACCCCCAAGTGGCCATGGCTACGAGGTGCCTTACCCATCCTCTGAGGGGACCCCAGGTGGGCACGCGGGTACACAGGTCCCTCAGGACCCGGATGACAATGACACACGATTTCAGCCCGTTGGCTCTGGCCTAGAGAACAAAGCACAGGCTCTTTACACCAAGGACCCTCCCTCAACACAAGGCAAACATGAAAAACACAAGTCTCAGGGCGCTACTTTGTCAAGGGTAAACGGTGAACGTTCAAGACCATCAAGTGCGTGGTCAGCGGCAATTTCACCGGGTGGACGAGAACAAGGTTACTCTTGGCAAAAAGCAGCACAGCCCACCTACTCAGTCACAAGCCTCCGCTGGGGGTGTCAAATTTGTCAGCGCGCGCTCCTTTAGCAACTGCACGCCTGCAGGTACTAAGTGCGGCACGGCGATCTTCAATGTTACCGAAACTTTATGGTGAAAGTTAGCCAAGCTAAAACTTAGGAATTCTCTACCAAAAGACAAATAGAAGAACAAAATGCAAACCTGGAACCACTTGGCGTGTCGGAGGGACGCCAAGGCAGCAAGGCATTTCTGCCTGTCCAGAACGTCCGGGGGATCGTTGACTGATAGCGTTTCTATTCATGGGTGGAATAAGAAGACAAGGTACAGTTTGACCAAGGGGTTTCTGTCAGGTGGAAAGGGGATGTGGCAGCTTCCTAAAGGGCAGCTGAGGCTCCCAGAATCTCAAGTCCTCTCCACCCTAGACCAGGGAAGGAGAAGCTAGAGTGTGTTTAACTCTGCCCTGAGGAGATCATAAAAATCAGAGGCCCCTCCAAAAGAAAAACAAAAAACAAAAAACAAAAAAAAAAAAACACAAAAAAAACCCCACAAAAAACATTAACAAAAATAAAAGTGGGAAGTTACTCTAAAAGGAATAATCCCATGGGGGAGGGGGACAGATAGGTGGATCCTATCTTCTAATAGACAATTAATTACCTTGTTTCCTCCCCATGATCTCCCAATAAATTAGCTATGCTAAAAATTTCAATAGCAAAAAAACAAAACAAAAAAAACACACAAAAAACCCAAAAGCACCAAAAAAAAAAAAAAAAAAAAAACACAAAAACACCCCCCACCCCGCAAAAAAAACAAAAACAACCAAAATAGGTGGGGGGAGCGGCAATGAACTCCCTCTCTGCTTCCCACAACGGCCATCCCCTGAGGCATGTGCAGCAAAGGGGACCACCTCCGCCCACCAGGCGGGACTGCCCTAGCCCCAGCCCTTGACAGAGAGAGTCCTGTTGGTCAAAGGTCCAGCGTCCCTAAATCGATAATTGGAATCAGGTATCAGAACCAAAGGTAATCAAAGAGCAACAAGGGCGCAGAGCGTGAGCCTCTGCTGCAGCAGAACTGGAGCAGTGTCACTGCTGCCACTTGTGTGTCAGGGATTTGGATAAGGCCTGTTACCTTCACTCTGCGGTATGAGATCTGCAATTAAAAAACATCCGCACAGAAGAGACGCCTGAGGGGCCCTTGGTGGCCTTTGAATTGTGAAAGCATTAGCAGTCTCTGAGGCTTTGGTTTGAAAATCACACAACTGCTGAAAACTTTATCCAAAACTCTGTATCAGCTCTTTGCATTTCCATCACGGCAGCTGGTGAAAGCAGCCAGTGGAAGAGGACAAACCAAGAAGCCCTCGGTTCTGCTGCAACACAAGCTGTTTGCACAACTCCATCGTGATGTTCATGCAGAAACCATCTGGTTGTCTTCCATAATTTAAAAGCTATAAAATCACCAGGGACACCCTTTTCCAAGGCCAGAGAACGCTCAACAGAAAAACCAAGTTTAACACTGATGAGAACATTCAAGGATTGAGACAAAAACGGTGTGGTCCTCTGTGAAAAGTGCTACTCACTTTTAGTGCAACCTGTGTCGTCAAACTCCCATGTGCTCAAACTGAACGGGAGGTGTGATCTCAGAGCAAAGGTGGTCAAAGCTACGCAGAGACCCTTTGATCAGAGCAGTCTAAAACTGAATAGCACATTTGACTGGCGAGGGAACACCAATTTCCAAAGTCCTGCTGGCCTCTCTCAGCCTCCCTACCTCCAGCTAATACTTTCTCCATTTCTTCTCTGACAACAGGGGACGTCAGGTGGATGGTCAGGGACAATGGAGGCTCTTTTGTGTTTTTTATCACAATCGCAGCATCATCGACAGACTGGAGTATTTCGTACTTGTCTTCTGTAACAGCCTACAAAAGAAAATGCAACTTTCAAAACATACTTCCTTCTTGAGGCTGGCAATCAACAGCTGCGTGCGGCTCTGCCGGTTACCACAGCACACATGTCAATTTCTTGGGGTGTGAGTGCCTTCACCTAGGGGATCAGTCAGGACCTCCCTCTTGCTGACCTGGTCTTTGGCCATTTTCTGCGTACTCCAGAGTGGAGGTCTCTAACTACGGGGAGGAATCTGCATGGGGAGCTTTGCAACGCAAAGCTTTAGGGTCTGGGAGAGGAGACCAAGGGTATGAATCTTTACTGCCTCTGGCTAGCTGCATAACTTTGGGCACATTGCTTAATCTCATGAAGATGCTGGTTTCTAATTTCTAGAATGGACTTAGTGACACGACCCACACCAGCAGGCTGCAGGAGGCTTACACGGACACCACCCAGAAAACACAACACCCAACAGAGAGGGCATCCACCACCGCTATTTCCACACCGGCATGAGTGGCCATCAGCACAGAAAGAAACCGTGTAGTAAGAGAATTCATGTCACGTAAAGCATTAAAAAAAGAAAAAAAAAGAAAAAAGCATATACGTGCTGCAAATGCATGCATCTATAAAAGGGTATTTTTTACAACACCCTGGCTTCCACTTTCTCCTTTATACTGGTTCATGAGCCTTGATGAATAGAATTCAAGCTCTTATGATTTTTGTTAGAGAAAACATAAAGGAGGACAAATGCACTCTGGGAAACCCGAAATGGGGTGGGTTTCTCACCTCAGCACTATGGACATTCTGGGCCAGATCACTCTGGGCCGCGGGGACACCCTCTGCTCTGTGGGACATCCGAGCAGACCTCTCCGGCCTCCACCTAGTGGCCGCCAGCAGCACCCCACTTCCCACCACTGGGACATCCCAACTGTCTCCAACTCGCCAAATGTCCCCTGTGGGGAGCAAACTGTCCCAGTCAAAAAAACACTAATCTCAATCAATAAAAATACACTTTATTTGTACCTTTCTTTAAGGATTTTTTTTAACAAAAAGACGCTTTTCACGAAAGACGTCTTTTAGAAACGTTCACGATGTTAAGTTTCATCAATGAATACACTTTTTACACACGGAGTTAAAATTAATTTTTAAAAATTACCACTGGAACTGAAAGTTTAGGGCTTCACTTCCCTGGAACAGCCCCCAGAAGTGTCTGCTGCACTGCTCTCGCTCTACACTTCAGTTCTGACCTCCATCCTAAACCCCAAGTTATCAGTCCCATGTGAAGAAAATGCACGTTTACACATGAAAATGAACAGTGTGCTTCCCTAAGGAATGAGATTTCTTAGTTCTGTTTTTCACTTTCTTCTTTTGCTTATTCTGCTGCTAAATGGGGTGAATATGTCCCAGGGAGGCAGCATATGGCGGCGACGCGTGGACGTTCTAAAGCCCCAGAACTCACCAACTAGGGATGCTGAGGTCAACTGCTCAGCTCCCTGCATCCCACTCACGTCTTCTCAAATACTCAGATGATAAAGTCCTATCTCAAAGGGTCGGTATGAGGACGAAATAACATAAACGGCACATGTGGCCTAGGCTCTGGGGTAATAAATGCTCCAGAAATGTCAGAAGCTATTATTTATACAACACTTTAATAACATGACAAAGAAATTGGTTTTCTGTTTTGTTTTAAGTAGGTATGGAGCCCACTGTGGGGCTTGAACTCCTCATTCTGAGCTGAGGTCAAGACCTGAGGTGAAATCAGAAATCAGATGCTTAACAGACTGAGCCACCCAGGTGCCCCCAAAAAGTTGGTTTTTAACAAGTTTTCACACCCAGTTTTGGATCTGTGGGTAAAAGTTAATAACTGCATCTTCTCTTCAACCATCGACCCCACCGGGTCTGGATGCCAAGTCCCAGCCCAGTGCGGCCCCGTGTGCAGTAGGCCCGGAGTCTTTCCTGGCTGACAGGGCCCTGGGCCCATCACAGTCAGCCAGGCTCCGTCCGCGGAACCTTCGGAGTTCTGTGACACCCAGCTGCACGTGCAAGGGTGGGCTGGGAGCATGCCTCTTGGCGCACAGCTCGGAGGGGCCGCTCTTCCCCTGCCCCGCGCCCTCGACAAGCACAGCCCACCCCACCCAGTGGAGACCGTCACACTCACAGCGAGCTGGATGGCCAGGTTGTCAGCCACCTTGTCCAGAAGGGCGGTTGTGGGCTTCTCCTTGCAAAGTAGCACCAGCTCCAAATCCAAGTCCCCCTTGAGCAGCAGCCCCTTTGCCACGAGGCCAACGCGCATGACGCCCCGCAGGGTTCTGGTCATGTGCTCTGCCTTCTGCTCCCTGAAGAACAGACCGCAGTATGCTCAGCGAGGGAATCGGCGCAGCCACAACCCAGAGGCCGTGGAAAGGCCGGAGTTTCTCAGAAAAGGCGATGTTCACCCCTACGCTGGCCAGTCTCTCCACGCAAGGTCCCCACCGCCCCCGAGCCTCAGACTTACCCAGCCCCTTCCTTGGTCTCGTCCTCTGGGGGCACATCCGCGTTCTCGGACTCGGCGTGCTCGCTGCTGCCCTTCTCCTGCTCATCTATCCAGTCGGACACAGCTTTGAGGGCCCTCTCCGTGTGGGACACCATGTTCTGGACGGCCTCCAGTTCCTCTTGGGTCGGGTACACGGAAGAATGCTTTGCCATCACGTGGCGATCGTCATTCACAAAAATTCGCATCGGACGCTGGAAATGCGAGAACACAGTTAAAGACGGAACAATGCAGAGAGACCAGGCAACTGTCCATTTCTCTTTCAAGCCACGAAACTCAGAATCAGGCTTTATCATTCGTGCGACAGGAACTCGCCGAGCCGACCACTGACGGCACGACAGGGACAACCGAATGAAAACAACTCTTCGCTCGAGGCGGCTGACAGGAAGGGGGCACTGTGTGCATTTACACATACACACATACACGTGTACGTGTGTGTGAATCCTTACGCTGCGCGGTGACATTTTAGAATTCAAAAAGTCTAATGAAAAAACAGAAGAATCAAATGCTTTGGGGAAATACTTCATCTTTGAATGTGAATAAAGAGATAGGACTTATGATTTTAAAAAACTTACCATTTTTACTTCTTTTTTCTGTAGTGTCTGGAAATCAAATGTTTGCTTATCTTTTCAAATTGTGACAGATCTCCTTGATGTTATCAATACTTCAACTATCTATAAAATCAGAAAATCGTTTTAGTCTCAAATATTTCACAGGCGGCCGACCTGCAGCAGGCAGGCGCTGACTAGGAAGCAAGACGGCGGTGCCGCGGCGCAAGGGGCCTGTTAACACCGAAGGACACTTCTTCAGTTCCAAGGAAGCACCGCTAAGCTGAGTACAAGCTAATTATAAAATTCCCAAAAAAAAAACAGCTGGTTTTGGAAGCCAACTCCCACTCACATCTAGAGGATTTCTACTTTATCTTCTTTCATCTTTTTTTAGACGTAAAGTATGCCAGATTTTTTCAAAGTTCTTTTATTTATTTTGAGAGAGACAGAGAGAGAGAGACAGAGAGCGCACAGCGGGCAAGGAGCAGAGAGATTGGACACTTAACCGACTGGGGCATCTGGTCGGTTAAGTGTCTGACTAAAGCTCAGGTGGGGTCATGATCTTGCGGTTCGTGGGTTTGAGCCCCGCATCGGGCTCTCTGCTGTCAGCACGGAGCCAGCCTCAGATCCTCTGTCCCCCATCACCCACGGCTTGCACACGCACACTCTCTCAAAAAATAATTTAAAAAAAAAATTCAAAAGACCGTGAGATCGTGAGTGCAATGGCGCAGGGGGAGGGGAAGCAGAGAGGTAATCCCAAGCTAGCTGCATGCTGTCAGCGAGGAGCCTGACACAGGGCTCAATCCCACAAACTGCAAGATCATGACCTGAGCCCAAATCAAGAGACAGATGCTCAACTGACTGAGCCACCCAGGCACCCCTAGAGTATGCCAGTTTTCACAAACATAAAAAATAAAAAATTGGGGCGTCTGGGTGGTTCAGTCGGTTAAGCATCTTACTTCGGCTCAGGTCATGATCTCATAGTCCGTGGGTTCGAGCCCCACATTGGGCTCTGTGCTGACAGCTGGGAGCCTGGATCCTGCTTCAGCTTCTGTTTCCCTCTCTCTCTGTGGGAGCGCTCACACTCTGTCTCTCAAAAATAAATAAACATCAAAAAAATGCTTTTAAATAAAAAATTAACACACTTCCAATTAATGGTAACAATACAAGTGTTCAGTAAAATCCTGGAAAAGGGAAAGAGAAGGAAGGAGCTCTGGTCTTTGAGGGTAGTGAAGAAATGGAAGGAAAGCAGGAGACAGCCCCAAAGGTGTCTGTAAACCAGAAAACCAAGAACCTTCTGAAACATCAGGTAGATGTGACCACTGCATCACATGCCCCCCTCCCACCCACCCCCATGGTTTCAGTTTTGAAAAGGCCAAAAAACTCAAGTGCACAACAGAAGTCTTCAGGACAAGCATAGCTGTAATTACCACTTGGCGCTCTAAATAACATGCTGACGACAACCTACTCAATTCCCACTCTGTGCAAACAGTCTGGTCCACACTGAAATCTTCCAAATGAGTGAAAAACACAAAAAATCCATCACAATGATATACAACAGATGAATCCACCCATTCCATCCAACCACACAACAGCCAGCCCCTTTGATCGAAGCCAATTACCAGCCAGGGCAGCAGGCTCCACCTTGTGGAAAGGCACACGCTTCAAGGATAAACTTGGACATGACTGACCAAAACAAGAATTTCCCACAACGCTTCAGGACTACCTAACAACGGAATTGCAAATGTGTAGGGTTCAAAGTGGAACTATAAAATCGAAGGGTGGAATGAGAGCTATGCGAGAAGACAAGTGGGGGTCATGGGCTTCTCTGAGGGGGGAGAGGAGTGGGGACCAGTCTCCGGGCTCAGCCGTACACTATGCCCTTGGGAAACCACTCAGTTACCAAGCGGGAGCTCCCACACAGACCTGCACTTGAAACCCTGACTGCCCAGCCACTAGCCACGAGGCCTTCAAGTTTCTCCTGTGACGTGGATGTGGCCCCTCCACCTCTGCGGGGGGGAGTAAACACGAAACAAGTCAACCTATGGAAAGCATGCAGCACAAGCACAAAGGCCACGGACCCTTCAAAATGGCACCCACCTTTTCTACCAACAGGATCTCTGTATGCCAGGCTGCCGTGGGGCTAAGTGAGGACTGACGTGCAGTGAGAAGTGCATCGTACATGACGGAATTATCATTCATTCAACGAGGAACAAATGAAACCAAGGTTGTGTTCAAAAAAGAATGCTTTACTTGCTAGATACATACTGAAGATAAAATGATGGCTGAAAAGTACATGCCTGATACTTGCTCTAAAATACTCCAGTAAGGCAGGCAGTGGTGATGAAGAGAAAGATAAAACATGAAGGCACAATGCTGCTAGCTGTCAAAGCTGGGGGATGGGTGTACCAGGATTCACTGCGAGGTTCTGAAAACTTCCATAATAGTTTTCTTTTTAATTGCAGAACGTACTTAAATCCTCCCACAAAAGTACAGTCGCAGCAGGTCATCTAAAAATTCAACCAAAGCTCAGAACCCCAGGTCTTTATTTTGTTTAATGTTTATTGACTTTTGAGAGAACACGAGAGGGGGAGAGGCAGAGAGAAAGGGTGACACAAAATTTGAAGCAGGTTCCAGGCTCCGAGCTATCAGCACAGAGCCCATCGTAGGGCTCGAGCTCAGGAACCTTGAGATCACGACCTGAGCCGAAGTCAGACGCTTAACCGACAGAGACACCCAGGTGGCCCTAGAAACCCAGCTCTAAACCAGCAGCAGACTATCAGAGCTCACAGTCTGATGGTGAAATGGCCACCACTCCCAGCCATATCTGTGCTGCAACCTCATCAATGAAGGCTCTCAAAATGAAGGCTGGTAGGGTTTTTTTTAATTAAATTTTTTTAATGTTTTATTTATTTCTGAGAGAGGGAGAGAGACAGCGGGAGAAGGGGACGGTCAGAGAGAGAGAGGGAGGCACAGAATCTGAAGCAGGCTCCAGGCTCTGAGCTGTCAGCACAGAGCCCGATGCAGGGCTCGAACCAACAAACCACGAGATCATGACCTGAGCCAAAGTTGGACGCTTAACCGACTGAGCCACCCAGGCGCCCCAAGACTGATAGGTTTAAAACCGAATTTGTTTCCTCAACAAGTATCCAGGCCGGGATGGTGAGAGATCTGGCAGACAAATGCCTTGCCCCGGTGAGCCCGGTGGGCTGGTGTGAGGTAAAGAAGAACCGTGTATCTTCCAAGCCCGGTCAGGTGCCAGGAGCTGACGCCTCACTTCACATGGACTGACTACCTCTTCACCACACACTCCTCCTCATCACAAAGACATCAAACGCAGACACTTAAAAAGTAGACAGCTTGGGGCGCCTGGGTGGCTTAGTCGGTGAAGCGTCCGACTTTCGCTTAGGTCATGATCTCGCGGTTCGTGGGTTCGAGCCCCGCATTGGGCTCTGTGCTGACTGCCAGCTCAGAGCCTGGAGCCTGTTTCCGAGTCTGTGACTCCCTCTCTCTCTGACTCTCCCCTGCTCACGCTATCTCTCTCTCTCTCTCTCTCTCTCTCCTAGAAATAAATAAAAAACATTTAAATAAAAAAAAAAGTAGACAGCTTAATCCGTGGATTCAGGTGTCTAGGACTCTTTCATTCGGGGTTTTACAGGACTGAGAGTGTCTACCTTACTAAAAGGAGCTCCCCAGAGGAAGGGCTGATGCAGCACCTAACACGGGAGCCGTGTGAGCTGGCGTCATCTGCAGTGCCAGAGAGCGAGGAGGCGCTCGGACACTAATGCGCGCTGGCCAAAGGATAGGGAGCTGACCTCTGAAGGCACCCACTGGCTACATTTAAGACAAGTGAATACAAACAAAAAAACCCCCAAACAAACATAAAACGCTTCCACCTGCATGAAGTTCTAGAACAGGCAAATCTATTCAGCAGTTGTGCTGGGCAGGTGGTGGCAGGGACACCTGGGATGGGCGCTTTCAGGGTGATGGTCACAGTCCACATCTTGGTAGGGGTTCGTACATACAACAGTCAAAACTAATTGAATGGTAGCCTCAAGAGGTGTGCGTTACTTCAAAAGAAAAAAAAGACACTATAAATAAATACTAGATTCTAGTTAATATTCAGATAGAGGACTGTAATTTCCTGCTACTTTGAAATGTATCATAAGAGTAAACCAGACTATATGTCAAAGAGATTCAATAAATGCATAAATAAACGTGGACTGACGGATGGCCAGGTCAGAGGGAGAGATGTGTGAAACAGAAGTACAGTCAAAGGCAATGGCAGAACCTAAGCTTTACATGCAAGTGGCTGTTCCTTGTAAACCACGTCACCTCCAGTAGATGTTCGAGAATTTTCATAATGAGATGTTAAAAACATACAACCTAAATTGATTCAGCATGTTAAATTTATGGAAAAGCTTGAGTCCATCACCTACTCTGGCACTAGTGCAGGTCTATATCCCAACCCTCTGCCCTGAAAATGGTGAGAAGGGACTGCAGTCCAGCCACAGCTGACGAGAGGGGGGGGGGACACACACTCGCTGGAAAAACAAATGACACCTGACAGATACTGGGAGTAGAAAACCCCTTTTCTACCTCTGGGTAAAAAGATGTGTCCAAAAAAAAAAAAAAATCAGCCCATGAAAAGTACCTCAAGGACATGCGTACGTCCCCAAAGGCACCTGCTCTAGGCGACTATCCCACATGTAGGTCTCCACCTGCCGCCTCCACCGTGAAGACGAAGAACGTGGGTGTGCACCTCTCCATCTTCCTCTGCTCCACGAGGCAGGCCCCACACTGAACCCCTGAAGAGACTCCCTGGGCTGTGGCTGGCCCTGACCACCCCACCTGGCCCATCTGCAAACATTCTCCCCCAAGCCTTCCTCCCTTACACCAGGCCTTGGTGGTGATGCCCCCTGATTCAGGGGGACTGAGTAGAAGTGCTAATCATGTGAACCAAAACTAAAACAAGTGCTGAAAAACTGGACACGATGCTCCTTTGGAGGTCGACACACTTGGCCGCCCTGGTCTCTGAACCCGGACCGGTCATCCAAGCCAGCTTTTCAGAGGCTAGAACACCAGGGAATCCCTGTCTTCAACAGACAGACGGGTCTTGTGGATGA